TTGTTGGGCAGCATCCGAAGTCGTCAGTTGATGTGTGGGTGGATGACATTTCTGTCGACTTTGTTGGACAAGATGCACACACAGTTGCAAAGGATGCCCTAGCTGGCTATGAAGAGCTCAAGCAAGGACTTGAAGCAGCTGGCTTGACCCTTTCTGTGAGCAAGACGGGTTTCCTCACGTCCAGCATTGACTGCAAGAAACAGCTGAAGCTGATGCGTAGAGAGGAGCAGCCAAAGGCACAAGACCTCCTGAAGGACTTAGGCTTGGACTCTAGTGGAGCTCGCCGCCGACGCATTGGCACTCAGCAGCAGCGCCTGTTGAAGGGGCGGGGACGCCAGTCCAAGCTGCTGCATTTCAAGCTTCGATCCAGGCCGGTCAGAATTAGGATCTGGAAAACCTCGGTCCATGCGGCAGTCAGCTATGGCGTTGAAGCACAGGGCATGGCACCACAGAGGCTTCGTGTCCTCCGAGCTCAGCTTGCAAGGCATGGGGGCCTGCAGAAGGGAGGGAGCTGTGACATTGTGTTTGACCAGCAAATCAAATTGCAGGATCCTCGTGACACAGCCATTGAGCGCCAGCTGAAAGCCATGCATCAGCTTGTTCAGGCATGGCCCACAGCCCAAAGAGGGGAGTTGGAAGCGGCTTGGCGGGTCTCATGGAAGCGGCTGCAAGCAGCGGCCTACCCGTGGATGGTTGCGGCAGGTCCCATGGCAGCATTACAAGCCTACCTCCTGGAGATGAAGTGGGATGCGTCCCTGCTACACGACTGGGTGCGCCAGCCACGGGGAGTGCGACCGGTGGCACAGCTCAATTTGGAGTATCCCTGGCCGTACCTGCAAAAGCAGCTGCATGAGGAGTTGGCACACCAGAGAGCCTCCCGCATTCAGGAGCTGGAGCACTGCTTTCCCTTGATGAGGAGGCCTGACTGGACAACTTACCACTGTGTCATCAAGCAGCTCAAGGGCATCAAAAGAGCTGCAGTGGATGCATGGACCCAAGGCTCCCTTCGGACCCATGTGAGTGGGGAGCGGGCACAGTGCCCTCTGCGCCAAGTCCCAGTCACGATGAAGCACCTCATCTGGGAATGCTGCTACCATGAAGAACCACTGCCACTGGAGTGGAGACGCCTCATTGCAGCCAATGAAGAGTCCATGTTGTGGGCAAGGGGGATGATTGAGGGCCCAGACTACCAGCCTCGTGTCGGAGTTGACTCCATGCATGTCACCGGTCTGCTGGAGGAAGGGTGGCCCATGAGGATTGGACCGAGCTCCCGCATTGCCATTGGCGTCAAGGCCACGCGTCAAGATGCTCGGGCGCAGAAGTTTGCAGTGGCTATTGTGGTTGGACAATGGCGAGATGGCGGATGGTGTGTTGAAGGCACCTGCACAGCGATAGCGCCGGGCAAAGCCAATGAGGCCAGGGCATGGGTCTTTGGCTGCTGGGTGATCCTACAGGCTTTCCTGGGACGCCACCAGATCAATATTCCTCACCAGCGGGGATGGCAAGTCCTTCAAAATGCAGCCAAGCATGAGCTGGTGGCAGACCTCTGGTACACCCTCAATGCCAGTGAGTGGAGCTGGTTGAAAGCCCTTCATGTCCCGGCAAGGCTCCTTAAACCTGAGCAGGGTGATCAAAGGGCCTGGTTGCAGTACTGTGAAGCTCAAGCGCAGGCAGTACAAAGAGCAGCGCAAGAGCGGCCAGCAGAGGTGCTCCAGTCTCTGCGGATCGGTGACGAATGGCACCGCCAGGTCTATGCTGTGGCAGCAGAGCGCATTGGCAACATCTTGCAGGACAAAGAGCACTACATGCATGATAAGATGGTTAAAGTTGAGGCTGAGTATAAAGTCAAAGTCAGGGCACCCAAAGGACGAATTGAGGTTATGCAGCAGCTCACACAACGTGTTGTTGGTGAAGGTCAGTCAGCACCACTGGAAGCTGAGAGCAAATGGAGGGGGCATGCAATGTCAGGCATGTGGGATGCATGTCAAGGCTTGCTCCACTCATGCCGAGATTGAAAGGAAAGACAGGCAGCTCTGCAGTGGAACAAAGAGTCAGACCCTCACCCAGCAGATGGAGCAGTTGGTAGAAGACAGTGGCTTGCTGCCGGAAGATGTCCCGGGGCATCGATGGGTGCTTCGTGTCAGCAACTTCAGTTGCTCGCGTTGCTGGCTGAAGGTTCCGAGGAGATGTGGAAAAGGGGCACTGCAAGTCATACAGAATGCACCTTGCAGGTTTGAGCAGCTTCATGAAAGGGATCTGCAGCTGCGGACCAGGGTGCACACCAGCCACAACCTTTGGAGGAGGAGTGAGTGGATCACATGCTTGAAGTGTGGCAAGAGCACCAAGGAAGTTCAGGGCAAGGTGCAGAGTTGGGCACAACAGCCCTGCAGCAGCGGCAGTGGGCAGCAGAAGCTCACCTTCGTGCCAAGTTCGAGCAGTTGAATGTATAGAGGGTTCAAGGCGAATGATCCTTGCCCTTGCCACTTTTGGGCGAGAAGCCCGTGGCTCGTTGAAGCGAGAACACAAAAGGGACCGAGAAAAAAAAAGAGAGTGTCCCACGAGAGTATCTTGACACGCTCACATCTGCAGATGTACCTCTCCACCTCCACACATCTGCGCATCTATATCGCACCTGCACATCCACACAGTCACTCCTTCACGTCGGTCCTCTCCTTCTCTCTTTCTACACATCTTGTCTCTTAATAGTTTAAATTGTGTCCAGAGGTCATGGGTCTGGGACAAGTCGATTTGAACTATCGGCATTACTCGGAATTGCTGGCAAATCACCTGTCTCGCGCGTTTGAGGGGTTCGTACACGGTGTTCTGTGGAGAAATTGAAGAGTTTGAGTCAGTTTGAGCCTGAAGCTGCATGGAAACTTCAGTGTGAAATGTACGTTCTTCAGTTCTATTCGAACCTCTTCAGCGTTGTACTTGCACAACTAAGGTTGACGTTGCGCCGCCGTTGCATCGACGCATCTACGTCTACACCCCCTCACCTCTGTACATTTACATCTTCACAGGCTCACATCCGCAGATCTACCTCTCCACCTCACCACACCCACACATCTGCACATCTATATCACATCTGTACACCCACACTGTCGCTCCTTCACATCTGTCCTGTCTTTCTTTCTTTCTACATACCTTTTCTCTCGCCTCTGTGCATTTGCATCTTCGCACGCTCACATCCACAAATCTACCTCTCCACCTCCATACATCGTCTACACATCTATCACTGTCACTCCTTCACGTCCGCCCTCTCTTTCTCTCTTTCTATATATCTTTTCGACAGTGCTGGACAATCACATGTCTCGCTCTCGGGCCAACCGTCGTCTAGTTTTAAATTGGGTTTCGAAGTTGCCGTTAGGCACCCTCTCTGAGCAAATTTGGGCGCAGTAGATGGCGCTGAATGCAGCCAAGCGCTCCAGCAAGCAAGAACAAGCAAGGTCTGGAAGCACTTCACTGGATATGATGCAGGGAACATTGGGTTGAAGAGTGCTCTCCTCCAGCTTCCTTTTCATGCCATTTCCCTTTTCCTTTTCTTTCCTTTTGATGGTTCTTTCTCTTGCTCTAGGCGGCCCGCGGGCGTTAGCCCCTTGTGTCCGGCGACGCCGTCCGGCGTACCTGCAGGCCAGCTTGCTATACGGAAGCGCACTCCACGCCGCCAACCCACATTTCTAGCATCACCAGGGCTCATGTGGCTTCATAAAAAAACGCCAAAAAGAGAGGGAAAATGACACAAATTGCAACTGTAACGCACACCACAGTAAATGACAGTGTTTTTGCAAAATGTATGTAGTTTATGAGCAGACGGCTTTGAAGCGATAATCTTTACAAAGTCCTGACTGCGATATTACGCTTCTAGTCGTGACTGGATTGAAGAAGCCATATAAGCCCAGGTGGCGCTAGAAATGTAAGCCGCAAACGGACATTTTGAACATCACCAGGGCGTATGCATTTACTTGAAAGAAGGTGACAAATAGAAGTAAATGTCAAGTTTTGCTACTGTAACGCTTTATCGCTAGAAAAGAAAGTATGCAAAGGGGAGAGGAAGTTTTGAGGTAGCATTTGTGTCGAGCACCATTGGCATCACCAGAGTACAAGCAGTATTGTTCACATAGAAGCAAAATTCCTTAGGGGGTTTGGAGGGCGCTTTCAAGATTTTGGTTGGTTTACGGGTAGGCGCAAACGGCTGTAAATGTCAGTGTTTTAGGTGAGTTTGTGTCGTTTGTTGGATAGTTGTCAGTGAAAGTGGAGGCCTTTGGGCAGAAAGCGCCTTTCAATGTTCGAGATGACTTCCTATGGGACAGAGAGTATGCAAGACGGCTTCGAGAGTCTCTACACGTTGATGGCTTTGGGCGGATGAGACTAGCGAAGATCCGATAATGTCGGTGACGCTTGATGCTGCTAATGGGCGATTCTGATCATGCTAGATCCTTGTTGGCACTGAAAACTGTTGATGCGATGACTCTTTTTTGTTGACGGCTAGGCGAAAAATGCTGTGTAAAGTCCTAGGGTTTTTAAAAGTTCGAATGAAAAAATGCAGCACGCAAGTGCGTTTTTTAGAGGGTTAGTTGGCGTGGTCCAGCCTAATGCTATCTGTGTTTACTGAGTTCGGTAACACAAAAGGTGGCTCCAACTTCGCCCATTCGATGCGCCCGCGCCCGAGCCCGCGCCCGCTCGCGCGGGTGTGCACGCGCGTACTTGCGTGCGCGGGTGCGCACGCGCGTACGTCTGTGTCTGAAGCTGAGGTTGCCAGGCTTTTTACATTAGACCCTCGTGCGCACATCTGCGTGGGAGT